TTCTCGGCTATGTGGCTGACTCTATCATGTTTGTCCTGTTCTCCCAATGAGACCATGGGTGCCAAAACCCAAGAGCTGCATACCAATTAGCATGACAGTTAAGCTGCATACAGTCTTTTTTCTATTCTTTATTTTTTACCCCTTCCTGGGGTTAAACAACAACGACAACAACAACAACAACAACAAAAAAAAACATTAAGTTATAATGGGCAATGAAAGACAGTGAGCAGAAATTTATTAGAAAACTAAGCTGGGTGTGATGGTACCTGCCTGTAATCCCAGCATTTAAGAGGCTGAGGCAGGAAGAGTGCCTGGAGATGGAGGTAGCCTGGGCTACAAAGAGATTACCAGACTAGTCAGGGCTACATAGGGAAACTCTGTATCATAAAACAAACAAAATGACATAGAAAAATAAAATGTTACTTTTAAATGGTGAGAAAAGTTTAATACTGCAGAAAAATTGAAGGACAGTGAAGTAACCAAGATGGGGAGCTGTCAAAGCATTCTCTGGCCTGCCATATCCCTATAAGCTGTTAAGCATCCCTTCAAAACGATAGGCCAATCCCAACAGTCAAGTGGTTGAGACAAGAGAATCAGAACTTCAGCTATGTCCTCAGCTACACAGTGATTTTGGGGGCCTGTCTGGACTACATGAGACCCTCTCTGAAACAAAAACAAAGAAATCAGGGCTGGAGAGATGGCTCAGTGGTTACAAGCACCAGGATCGATTCCACACAGAGACTAACAACCGTCTGTAACTCCAGTTCCAGGGGAATCTGATGCCTTCTTCAGACCTCCATGAACATTGTACAACACAGGTGCACTTAAATGCATGCATGTAATACACTCATACACACAACATTTTTTTTAAAAAATAAAAAATTATGTCAACAATAGCTAAGCCTCAGTCTCATACATAAAATATGCCTAATGGAAGGTATGGGTTGAAGCCAGGTGCCTAAAGTCACCTTGTTCATGCTGGAGAACTTGCTAACATTTCAAATTGGCATGACATGACATGAGGATTTTATCAAGGCCTAGAAGGGGCTGAAATCAGCAAACCAGCCCTTGGAAATTTGAAAAAGAGAAGAGAATATCTGTTTACTTCCAAATTCTAAGAGGTCTCTTTTGTGGGGATGGTTAATTCTGTATGTCAACCTGACTGGGTAACAGAGTGCCCAGATACAGTATTCAGCTACACATTATTTCTGGATGTGTCTGTGATGGTGTTTCTAAATGAGATTAGCATCTGAATGGGTAGACTAAGTGAAGTACATTTCCTCCCCAGCATGGGAACATATCACCCAATCCACTGAGGGCCTGAATAGAACAAAAGGGTACAGGAAGTGAGAAGTGCTTTCTTTCTGACTGCCTGAGATGGGACATTCATCTTCTCTAACCCTCAAAACGAAGTGTGCACCATTAGCTGTCTGATTTTCAAGCATTCAAACTCAGACTGAATTATACCCATGGCATTCCTAGATCTCCAGCTTTCAGACAGCAGGCTATGGGATTTCTCAGCCTCCATAGCACAGGAGCCAATTCTTTACAAGAAATAAAGCCCTCCTTCACATGCGTGCTTGCTCTGTCTCCCCTCTCTTCCTCTCTGCTTTGCTTCCTGTTCTCCCTCATTCCCCTGTTTCTCTGGAGTACGTGACTAATACACGGTGCCAAAATAAAGGGAATTTGTATTAGCAAATACTCACTGAATGAAAGAATTTTAAAAAGGTCTAGTGAAAGACAAATATAGTTGAAATATGTGAACAGAAAAATTTCCATGAAAAAGAAATAATGATGAATACAAAGAACTTATTTTATGTTAAATATATAGGCATATACATGGATACCATATACATATATACACATATACATCATATATATACATATACATATATATGTATGCATTTCTCAAGGAGAGCTGGGCATGAGATTCAAGCACATGTAAGTAATGGTAATTTCAAATTGGTGTGACTAAAGGTGATATTTGTTTTTTTCTTTCTACCTTTGTATATGGTTTGATTTTTTAAAACTATTTTATTTATTATTTTTATTTTATGTGTATGAGTGTATTGTCTGCATGTATGTGAGTGCACCCGTGTTGTGCAATGCCACGGAGGTCAGAAGAGGGCTTATGATTCCCCTGGAACTGGAGTTAAGGATGGTCTGTAGCCACCATGTGGATGTTGGGAATTGAACCAAGGTCCTCTGCAAGAGCAGTCAGTGCTCTTAATCGCTGAGCCATCTCTCCAGCCCCTCCCTGGTTTAATTTTTTTAATAACAGTTGTTTATATGCATTATGTAATCAGAAAAAGATTATTTTTTTATTTGAGTAAAAATCAGTCACGAGAATCCTTACAAATCTAGTAAAGAAAATCTATATAATTAATGACTCTTGGAAAAGTTAATATAAGATTGAAAAGGACATCTTCTATGTGGAAGTATTAATTTTCCAGTTCTCCAAATTCTGTGAATGGGTATTATTTTTTTATTTGTCTCAGATATTCACAAATAAGGATAATCAGAATTCTCAAAATATATTTTGAATTCATTACTACAAAATTTTTCTCTAAACATTCAAATCAAAAGTAATGTCAATTAAAAAAATAACCAATGAGCTGAGTGTGGTGGTGCATGCCTTTAATCCCAGCACTCGGGAGGCAGAGGCAGGCGGATCGTTGTGAGTTCAAGGCCAGCCTGGCCTACATAGTGACTTCAGGTCAGCTGGGACTACAAGGAGACCCTGTCTCAAAAAGACAGAAAAAGAAAAAAACAATGAACAAGAATCTCTTCACATTCATATTGAGTTACAATATGTCCAATTTCTCTCTACTCAGTAAGAAAACAATATTAAGCCAGACATGGTGGTATATGCCTGTAATTCCATCGTTTGGGAGGCAGAAGTCAGAGAATCGCACATTGAAGGCCAACTTGGGCTACATCATGATTTCCAGGCAAACTTGACCAACAAAGTAAGATTGTCTCAACAATAAATAAATAAATAAACAAATAAGTGAATAAATAAAGCAACCCGGGCATGCCTGTTGTTCCAGCACTTGGTAGGTTAATGCAGGAGGATGGAGGATCAGGCATTCAAGACTATTTCTAGATATATAGCAAGTTTGAGATCAGCCTGCGCTACATGAAACCCTACCTCTCAAAACACACAACAAATAATAACAATTATTTAAAAATTAAGCGGTATTATGAGTTGTCCAAGACTTTCTATTTTCTTCACTAAATTTGGGATTTAATGCAATAGATGTCAAAAATTTTTAAACATATCTTTTTTATATATATTTTATTATGTGTATGACTGCTTTGCCTACAGGTATGTAAGTGCACCACATGTGCACAATGTCTGCAGAAAACAGAATATAGCATCTGATATCCTAAAACCGAAGCTATGGAGGGTTGTTAGATGTCATGTGGGTGCTGGAAATGGAACCTGGAGCCTCTGTAAGAGCAGTCAGTGCTTTTAACTGCTGCACCATCTTTCTAGTCCCCCAAAATATATATCTTTGGAGCCAAACTCTGAAATTGTAGGAATCTACCCTACAGACTGTTATATATTTTTGTCATGCTTTATGTATAAGGTATTGCCTGCAGAACTGTTTGTAGGAGCAAAGAACTAGAAACAGCACACGTCTTCCAATAGGGGGTGGATTATACAAACTGTAATACATCCAGATTTTGCATATAATATATAAAGCACATAAGAATCACAGGAGTTACTGCGTTGTGCATGCTAGACATGCGCTGTACTACTGAGCACCCTCAATCCATGCTCTCAGCATTTTAACTGGTATAGTCAGAAGCCAGAAAGATCCAAAGCAGAGTGTAGTATGCTGCAGATCCATAGGAAGAAGTTATGGCTCACTTTCATCTGGCATTTGACTCTCTTTTCCTTAAAAATTCAGTCACTAGAGGTTATCTGGAAGCTGGAAGGAGTGATGAGGATGGAAAGATATGGGCACTTGGCTCTGCTGAGTCATACATTTTAAACTAGAAACAAGAGGAAAACAATAGACAAAATAGTTCCTCTGTGCTTATTGTCCATTGTATATACGAAGTTCTTCTTGATTTTCATATCACTTACTGCTTATATCACCAGAGTGGAACAAATTCATTGGAGAGTAAAATTCAGTTTTTGAAAGTCAAATGATATTCGCATGCCTGTATGGAGATGATTCGAAACTCCTTATCCATGCACAAAATGAAATGACCATGCAGTACAAATACACTTAGAACACTGGGTGAAAACCGAAGCTGTACTTCAGCATAGGTTGTGGGGGAGCACAAGGCTACCAGGCAAAGCAACTTAGAGGGAATGATAACTTGACCTTTTCATTAGCGACTGGGCCAAGTCTGGAAAGGAGACATGAAGGAAATCAGAGAGTAGATTAAGGAGAATGATGCGATTTCTTTTTTCAAACAGGAACTTATTTTGAGTATTACACATGCTCTATTTATAGCTAATATGGTTTGACATATCTGTGTTCAAGCCAGAGCCATTTCATTCCTCCCTCTGTGCCACAGGGAAGTCTTTCTTTTGAGCTCACCACAAAAATAGAGTTGATAATATTCCAGTAGATGTAATGGATTGACTGACTCTGAAGTACAATCACAGAATACAATCACTTAAAACTTATTGCGTTATAGGAACTTAGGAATTCACCTTCTTTTAAATATCTGGTAAGGCTATGCTGCTAAATTTTAGCATAACACCTACATATTAACCACCTTCTCTCTCACCGCTGTTTAGTGGGCCTTGCTTTGAATCTTTGCTCTGCCTTCGAATTTATCAGCACAGTGAATGTGAAACCTCCAGATATATGGAAGAATCTCACAAGCAGAAGAACGGCACTGTAATGCAAATGGCCTTGGAACTTCACAGAGCAACTTTATCCAGTTTTTCCTTGTGTCACCTCAACATTATCAGTGGTTTGACAATGAAGCATTTCCATAAGGAATCAAGAAAATTTTGTCATCTGAACACTCACCACAGTATAGTAATTCTTCGTAAGTGGAGCAGTGTCGAATCCTTTGACAGCCTTAGGGGACAAAGGTCTCTCTGTGAAAAAAAAAAGATATTTAAATTATGTTATTATCACATAACTCCATGGTGAACATTTTATAACATAGGTCAACTGGTGTATTATGAAGATTCTAAGTGGAAGGGTCTGGGGAACATATATTCCTAAATAAGGGTAAGTACAACTTAACCATAGAAGGGCAAAGTTACATCTTCTTGTTCAGACCCCTCAAATTGCAAGGGAGGGCTAGGGCAAGTAAAGACATAGCTAATGAATGGCACAGTCGGGGCAAGAATTTCACTCCCAGTTTGGGTTTCTTTATCCAAGTCGGTGTCTCCACTCAATTTATTCAAAATACACATCTTTCTTCTCCTGTAGTCTTATATTCCAGTATAGCATTGTTTCATGAATATTTTCCATCTAATCTTGATTTTTAATTATTACTATATGAAAATATCCTTAACATTTATTTGGAACTAAATAGAATTAAAGACATTTTATCAGAACTTTGCAACAACCATGATAGGCAGAGATGATCTTCTTATTTACAGAGAAGGCCACGAAAGTTCAGAGATCCGATGTCTCTGGACTAAAAGATTTGATCAATGGCACTGAGCACAGGTTGGCACTGGGGTTCAGAACAGCCAGCAACTTGATATGGGATGGCCACAGAAGGCGATTGATCTAACTCCGGACGGTTGTAGACAAGAGAACAAAGCAAATTCCAGGCATGGAGGATTCTAGAGGAATAATGCAGAAATGGCAGTATTCAAGGCAGTTATGTACATGTGACAGTCAATGGTCAAGACAGGCCATGTTGGGAAGAGTAGGCTTAAAAGCAGCAATGAAGGCCAGCTTTGTTACTCCAGTGATGACAAGTATATGTGTCCACTTTCTAAAAACTTTATGCTACTTTGCAATTCACCTTGATCCACCAGTGGCTTACAAGGCTTCATTGGGACCACCTGAGCAATGCAGAGCCATTCCACCAATTACTTCAGATTATCAGTGACAGAGCCAGGTCTAGACCCAAGTATTATACTGTCGTGCCTAGTGACCTTTCTGGAACACTGTAGCATTGTTCTTACACATATTCAAAATTGGACCAACGCTTGGGAGGATGAGGCAAGAGATCACAGTTTGAAGTCAGCCTGAGCTACAAAATGAGACCCTGCCTAAAGGAAAGAGGAAGGGGAACAGAAAGGGAAAGGGAAAAGAAAGGGGGAAGGGGTAAATGACAGGAGAGAGGAGGGGGAAGAGCTTGAGGGAAGGACAGAGGAAAGGAAAAATAAGTAGCAATAAAGTGTTTAAAAACAATAATGAAGGGGAGGGACGTGAAGAAGAGAGGAACAAAATGAGCAGTTATCAAATTGGTTTAGTATTTTAGGTACATTTTCTATAATCTGTAAAAATTTTAATTAGAACTTAAAGTTTTTGTGCAGTTACACCTGTGTCACACCTGTTTTCCAAGTACTAAGGAGGCTGAGGCAGGAGGATTGTCACAATTTTCAAGCCACCCTAGGATACATAGGGAGTTCCAGGCCACCCAAGCTACATAAAAAGATTCTGTCACAAAAATAAATAAATAAATAAATAAAGTACATAAATACCATTTTCTAGTTGTACAAACAATGTCTATGAGCCATGCCACACATAACACACCTCAGGACTTCTGATCTCAGAATCTAAGCAAGGTCAAACCCGGTTAGTACTTGGATAGAAGATACCTGCAAGATATAGTCACCTTTTAAAAGGAAGGCCAAGAGAAGAGTAAATAACAGTGGAGTACCTGCTAAGATGTAGACAAGGACAGAAAAGCCACAGGAATGCAGAATGCAGTTGAAACACAATGTTAACTATGTAAAGTGGAATGGAGGAGAGCCATATATTGAAAGAATGGGGCTGCCTTGGAGAGTCCTGGATAACTGGGATGACTGAACACAATGCAAAATAAGTTAGTGTTTTGAAAAGATAAGAGAGGGTGCAGGTGAGAGAAATCAGAATGCCTTTGTATTCATGTATGGAAATGTCAAAGAAACTTTAATACAAATTTTAATTTTTTTTTCAAAAAAAAAGATAAATATAATCATCAAACCTTTGGTAAGTTTGTGAGAGGAATGAGGGAGAAAAGGAGAAAGAGAGAGGGACCCACTAGATTGCTCAGTGCGTAAAGGTTCTTACCAACAAGACTGACAACCTGAGTTCAGTCCCAGGCACCCAAACTGTAGAAAGAGAGAACCAGTTCCTAAAAGTTGTCCTATGGCTTCCACATGTATACACACACACACACACACACACACACACTAGTTTTTTTTTTAATTTATGTGTATGAAGGTATTGCCTGCTTGTGTGTAAGTGCACCCATGTCATGTAATGCCTGAGGAGACAAGAAGAGGGGGGTGTCAGATCCCCTGAAACTGGAGTACAGATGATTGTTAGCTGCCATGTGGGTGCTGGGAATCAAATCTAAGTCCTCTGTAAGAGCAGTCAGCGCTCTTAACTGGTAAGCCATCTCTCCAGCCCCATTAGTTAATTTTTTAAATAAATTATAGTAACAGGAATGAAACAGAAGATTCTACTCTAGACCCTAAACATAGCAAAAGGAAAATAAGGAACACCTTTATTTTTATTTTTTATGTGTACCAGTGTTTTGCCCATATGTATGCAAGTGCACCATATGTGTGCAATGTCCACAGAAGCCAGAAGAGAGCATTGGATCCCCCTGGAACAGGAGTTTACAGATGGCTGTTGACCACCATGTAGGAGCTAACAACCAAACCTGGGTCCTCTACAAGAGCAGCCCAGTGACTGCTCTTAATTGCTGTGCCATCTCTCCAGCTCCTTATTTATTTGGGGGATAGGATTTCATGTAGCCCAGGTTGGTATCTAACTCACTAGGTGGCTGAGGATGATGTTGAACTTTCAGTCCTCCTGCCTCTACCTTCAGAGTGTTAGAATTACAGATGTACACCACTACTCCTGGTTTTTGTGCTGCCGGGGGTTAAACTTGGGGCTTTGTGTATGCTAGACAAACATCAACTGAGCTGCATCCTCAGGCCCCATGTCTGGTGTTTCGTTCCTCCTTTGCTCCCTACCAATTCTTACCCAGTAAAGCTTTTACTAAAATCTACACTCAGCAGCATTCAGAAAAGAAATAAATTTGTGACAATCGGAAGACTACTTCAAAGTGACCTAATCAGAACAGTCATGAAGGCATAAACCTTTCTGGTAGTGTTTCTAAGATAATGGAAAAAATTGATTAAGTCTATCAATTAATGATGAAGAATCAATCAAATTAAAAAAAAACTACTGTTAGCATGAAGTAAGAACATTGTTATACATGCTTGGGAATAAGAAACCCTCATACTCATAATACAGACTCCTTTCCAATTCTCTTTTTGAAAGATTTATTTATTTTTGTTTTTTATTTTTATTTATTTATTTTGGTCTTTTTTTGAGACAGGGTCTCCCTGTAGCCGCTGGCCTCGAACCCACAGAGATCCGCCTGCCTCTGTCTCTTGAGTGCTGGGACTAAAGGCGTGTGCCACCATGCCCAGCACCTATTTATTTTTCTTTTATGTCTGAGTGTCTGCCTACATGTGTATATGTGCACCACATGTATACCTGATGCCTGAGGAAGCCAGAAGGGGGCATCAGATCCCTTGGAACTAGAGTTACAAATGGTTGTTAACTACCATGTGGATGCTGGGAACTGAAGCAGGGTCCTCTGCAAGAGTAGCAAAGCACCCTTTAACTGCTGAATCATCTCTACAGTCCACCAATTCATTTTGGATTCTTTCCCCATTTTTGCTAATGTCCAGATTTCTATAGTCTGTTGCTGGCAACAAAACAAAATCTAGTGACAAACAGTTTTTTCTGGACATGAAGCATCTATACACCAAGGGAATTAAAACAGAAATCTAAATATAAAGCTTGATTCTTGCTTTGGTTTATAATGATCAGGATGAGTGATTTCTTAATCTGCCTTAATACAAATTTAATTAACCATGTACCTAATAATCTCCTCAATTGGTATTTATATTTGCGTGCTAATAAGTCATTACAGAAGGATTTAATGACCCCCTAATAGAAACAGTTGGAAAAAATAAAATTTGTTTAAAATATCTTTTTCTGGGGCTGGAGAGATGAGTCAGTGGTTAAGAGTACTGGCTGCTCTTGCAGAGGAGCCAGATTTGGTTCCCAGCACCCACATAAACTTATAACTGTCCGTTCCAGTTCCAAGGGACGACACCCTCTTCTGACCTCTGGGCATTGTATGACACAGGTGCACTCACATACATGCAGGCAATACGCTCATACACATAAAATAAAAATAATAAATAAAATATTAAACAATAAAATATCTTTTCTGATCACATTTGTTTCAGTGTTTCTTGGCATGGAAATTTTCCCAGGAGAGGTGGTTTTCCTTCTTTCATTCTTTCCTTTGGTTCTTTTTCTGTTTTTGTCCTTTTTTCCTGTTCCCTCCCTCCCTCTGTCTCCTTCCCTCTCTTCCCTTCAGTCCTTTCCTTTTTCTTGCTATATAGCTCAGGCCAGCCTCAGATTTATGATCACCCTCCTTCTTCCACCTTTAGAGTGCAAGGATTGCAGATGTAAGTCACTGTAACTGGCTCCGGAAAAGTTTAGTGTAAAATCCTGACGAAAACCTTAGTTTTCAGAGCCAGTATGATTGTTCAGTGGGTAAAGACCTTTGTCAGCAAGCCTGAAAACCTGAGTTTGTTCTCCAGGAACCACATGGTAAAAGGAGAAAACTGACTCCTGCAAAACCTACTCCAGCAAAATCTTAGAAGAATGAACTCCCACAAGTTTGTCCTCTTACCTCCACACACATGCAGTGGCATGTGCATGCCCACAAGAATGTGCACACACACTTAGTCAATCAAGTAAGTAATTTTTAAAAATTTTAAGTCTTCACTCTTGAGGTCGTTTGAGGATCTGTTCCTCAGGGGTCCCATGGGCTTGGGAGGAGCCCCTGGCTCCTTTCTTTTACCAGTTCCATCTATGTGAAGATAAGTCA